TATATATATTAGTACAAAATATCTATCAATTTAATCAATAACTAATCTTTTATATAAACTAACTATTTTTAATGAAATTTTCTCTCTCAATCACATGATTTTTTACTACAACACTTAAACTTAAATAAAAGAAATCTTATATACATTATTGTAACTTTGCCATTGTGTTATTTGATAAAAGACACTTTAGGCATTTATCATTATTATTATTATTATTATTATTATTATTATTATTATTATATTATTATTATTATTATTATTATTATTAGGAATGTATAAGGATAAGTTAATAACACCCATATAAAACCCATAAACAAAAAACGAGTGAAGGTTGTTAAGTCACACACATATTCGAGTTTTATGAAAAGAGAATAGGGGATACACACTACAGGAAAATTGTCATATAGTGACATACACCTTATAGTGACACAGTACGTGTCATTAAAAATTACTTTTACCCACACAATAAATATAATATATGTTGGTATATTGTTAAAAAATATAGGTATAGATATAGTGACACACAAAATATGTTGTTAAATCTCATTCAAAATCAACACTAAAATTGTATGTAATTATATGTCATATAGATATATACTTACATATATTATACCTATAGTGACATTTTTTGTATGTCACTATATGAAATACTTTTTGTAGTGATATTAGCCGGAGTAAGTCAATAGTCTATGAGTTTTTAACTTTTTTTTCCCTTCAAATTTTTTGTCTTCGTTAATTTATTTGAAATCCTGCTTCATCCTTTTTAAATTAGAAATCATTATATATATATATATATATATATATTATTCTCTTTACTTTCATTATTAAATAAATAAATAAATCATTTCATATTAATCGGTTAAATTATCAACTACTCACATTAAAAAAAGTTAGTTTATCAACTAATTTTATTAAATACTTTTAATTCAATTAATTAATTTATAAGTTTGTGATTTTTTAACTCTCAACTCATAATTTATAAGCTTTCAACTAACTTATACACTTTTAATTAACTTATAAACTAGTTTTACCAAATTCACTCAATTAGTTCTTTCTTAAATTTTTTTAATTTTTTTAATCATATTATTAATATAAAATATTATAAACTTAATTAATGACTAATCCCTCACTAAACCTAACGGGTTACTATAAATATAAATAAGATGATCCAAATATTATGAACCCAAGAAGTGGTTATATAACCCATGTGGCACAGCATGCCGTCTGATTCTAGCGTATATAGACAGAACTTGTTTTGATTTGATTAAAAATTGTGTGCACTGCTAAATGGGGAAGATGAGCATTGAGATTTGAGCAGCATGAGTAACTGATAACTAGCACGTAATTTTGGATAGAATGTTACATTCTGCAAGCAACGTGCACCACTCCTTCATTCCCTTCTCTGATATCATATCATCCACTATAGGCCACAAGAATTAAGATGATGCTAAATAATACAACACTTTGTTGGTGACATGGATTTACTTTCCAACTAAGCACTTTGGACACACTTCATAAACCCAAACCCTATCTCTTATTCTCCTCACTCCTCACTCTCAACAATGGCCTCTGTTTCAGCCACTTCTCTCAGCTTCCAACCCTCTCTCAAGTTGTCCACAAGGACTAGCCAGGTTCGAAATCTCCCTCTTTTGATGCACTGTGTCTTTGTACTACTTTCATAATGCTGTCCCATAAGTCCATTTTGTTACAAGTACTAATAAACTTTTGCTTTTAAGTGAACATGTTTGGTGACTTTGTAACTGAAAAACAAACACACTCGTCTTCTGGAAATGGAATGATATCCTTTTGGTACTAGTGACTGAAAGCACGAAATAACCTAAATGTACTTGTGAACCTTGATTGAAATAGAAGGTATGTTGCTCGAATAGCAGAATAGGCAATGGTTACACCATGACAAGTGATAAGAGTAAAGTAACATCCTCTTACCACGGGATAATAAGATATTAATGTCAATTTAATATTATATTAAAATAGTACTAGAAAATTTTAAAATGAGCGAGGGCATGTCATGTGTTCCCACATTAATTTACTCTCCCGAGTCTTCTAGTTCTACTGACGTCTAATTTGGTTGGTTGAATAGAAATGAATAAATGGCTAGAGTCTTTAATATCAACTTCGATTTGAATGGATGAAAAAAGATTAATTTATCTCATAACTAATCTTTATCAGAGAAAACAGTGTAAAATTATAAATTATAAAGAATGATAGAATATAATGTAATATCTATAGTGCAGATTAATAGCTAAGAGATTATTTCAACTTAATTAACGGTTCTAAGTTTGAATTAGTATTTTCTTACCTTAAATACTTGTATATTGTATGGGGCCGACCTGGCCGAATACCTGACCCCTCGAATACTCGGGCCGAACACCCGATCCCTCGAACACTTGGGCCGAACACCCGACCCCTCGAACACTTGGGCCGAACACCCGACCCCTCAAACACTTGGGCCGAATACCCTCAAACACTTGGCCGAATACCCTAACATACCGACCACCCGAGAATCGAACGGAGTACGTCGGTATGCTCGGCCAAAACCATGTGCCGGCTCCAAGATGATTTCAAAGAGCTTAATTAACGTAATGTATTGGATTAGCCCCCTAATTTCCCGGGGCCCAGTCCCTAATCACGGCCCAATAAGAAGTCCTATAAATAGAGTCCCAACGAGGTACGTAACTAACTTTCAACTACCGCATTTATTACGCTGAGCACTTACTTGAGCGTTGGAGTGTCTTTGCAGGCACACCCCCCTCTCACATCGGACTACCCGGATAGGAACGAGAAGACCGAGACCTAAGATCCGACCCGTTACAACAAGGATAATTGAAGTGTGTTTCCTAACACAGGAACATTTGGCGCCCACCGTGGGGCACGAAGAGACGTTTTCAGCCCCTTTTTACTCTACGACTGAGACCGAGATATGGTAACAACGCGCAAAGGACAATCGACAACGACTCACCCGATTCCTAACCCCGAAAGCAACCCCGTCATGACCAACCAAGAGCGCTACCTGTACGGGATGCCTCAGACCCAACCGGAACCTGTGATACAACAAGTCCAGCCGAACACCAGTCAAACTCAACCGAAAGAGAGGATGGCTTCATCAATGGAACCATCGCTTGAATCATACGTTTGGTACCATAATAATTTGTTTCAATGACCAAACTAGCATTTTCAACGGAATTATCAGACCCCAGATTGAAATTAACACCGGCGTTGTTTACCTGCAGACATATCATATTACTGCTTAATTCATGCATGTTACCTTGAACATAAGTTCCTAACAAGTAGCTATGTGTGTGCTTTAGAAACTTACGAGAATATCCAAGCCACCATAATTCTCCTTCAACCACTCACAAAATTGGTTGATTGAAGAATTATCTAGAATATCAAGTTGATGACATGCCACCTCCTGCAGACCACCCTCTTGCAAGACCTTAATCGATTCAACGCCAACACTAGCATCTCTTGATGTTAGTATTACTGTTACTCCATGATCAGCAAGTTGTCTAGAGATCTCGAACCCAATTCCTCTGTTTCCTCCCGTGACCACGGCAATTGTTTCCTTAGACCACCACCTATGCATAAGCACAACATTAAACGCCATCTCTAGTTCCATGAATTAAAGGTTGTTGTCGTTTGTTTTCATATTTAAATCCTTACCTAATTAGCTAATAATCATTAGGATTTGCCTTGACCAATGACTAGTTTTGAGTTTTGACAATTAATGTGTTGTTACGATATGTAATGGACTCGATCTCCTTAAATAAAATTGTGATTTAGATGAGATACATTAAAGTGATCAATCAAATTTTCTACCGGTAGATTTTTCATTTCAATAAATTAAACAATATGCAGTTATTTCACTGTTGCAATCGGTGGCATTCTATGATCAAAGGGCTATCCTTATGAGGAGAAAGGAAAACTAGATGAAAATAAAAATGAGAGAATATGAACCTATGAGAGAGTAAATAGGTAGAAAATGCAACCTCTGGTGATCAGCATATGGAATGGTCCTGAGAAGAGATATCTCTTGCAATCTTTTCTCTTTCCGCTCTTTGGATTTTGCTTTGTGCCCCATGACTTTCTACCTATGTTGATTCGGCACCAATTTGAACTGGGAAAGCTGAATTGCTAGGAGCTTTGGGGTATTGAAGTTGAAAGAGATGAGATTGTATGACACAGCCAGACACAGACACGAGATGCAAAGGAGCAAAATGGGTGGCAATGCATGCATGCCACGTTGTTGGTCTAAGCATGTATGTTGGCCTTTCGGTCAAATGTGTAGAACTAGACTTCAGGCAAAAGATCAACCAACTTTTGTTTTTGTTCCGACGACTTTTAACGCAAAATTAATTCCTCTATGTTGAACCAAGGTAGCGAACACCTGCAAGTTGCACCAAAACAATTTTTGTTATTACTTAGATGTTATGCGAACAACAATAGTAGTAATGCATCAGTACTCTACAAGATTGAAGAATGCATCATGCATGCCTTCTTAATTTCTTTTATATATATATATATATATATATATATATA